TATCTCCTTCATCAAGTTGCCAATCTCTTCAGAGATTCGTGCTGCTGTCTCACGCTCCACCCTGCAAACAGAGAGGCCTTCAGGAGCAGCCCCAGGGCTCCACTGCCCCAACCTGCCTTGGCGGCGGGGGCCAGATTGAAAGACCTGCAGGGAGACTGTGGGGGGCAACTTTGAGGTCTCCATAGAGGGGGCAGTGACACGCACAGTAGGGTTGCACAAAATTTCATCACCAGTTTTGTTTCAATGCTGTTTTGACCCGTTTTGAGGTCAAAACAGCAAAAACAAAACAAAACAGGTAAGGTCGAAACATTTTGCCCATAGACTATAATGGGGAAGGTCAAAACAGCCTATAACTTTGTCATTTCTGGACAGATTTGGATAAAACTTTCAGAAATGGTAGCCCCTTCTGAGGGCATAGAGCGTGCCAAGTCTCAAGAAGATAGGTGCAGGAAGTTCAGAGAAACTGCTCCCCAAAATCTTGAGAGCCAAACTTGTGTTATACGTGTGTGTTAAGCCACAGCAGGGTCAAAACTACAGGAAGGCTAGTGCCTGGTGAGGCCACAAAGTCTTCCACGTTTGAAGGAGATAGGTGCAGGGGCTCAGAGAAACTGCAACCCCAAACCCTGAAAGCAAAATTCATGTCATGTGTATGTGTTAAGCCACAGCAGGGTCACTGCAGACATGCTAGCCCCTGCTGAGGCCGCAAAGCCTGCCAAGTTTCAAGGAGATAAGTACGGGGTTTGGGGGGAATCTGTACCTCAAGCTGCGGACAAGCAAAGCTCATGACACAGGTGACACTGTGTGTGTTGAGGTGCAGGGGGTTGACAGCTGCAGGGACGGTGGCCCCTGCTGTGATGCTGCCAGCTGTGGAGGAGATGGGTGCAGGGGCTCTGGGGCCCGCACCCCTGGCTGCTGACAGACAAAACTCCTGCCAGGGGTGCTCATGCAACTGACTGTATCCAGTTGATTGTCTGTATTGATTATTTCCTCTCCTTAGTCTCCGGTTTTGTAGGTATTAAGCCATGCTCGTTAAGTCGTTATGTAGTAGCTAGGTCCCGTGTATTGAGCTGGTCCCTGAATGAATCATAAATTAATTGGTAACTGGTAACACAGTAGCTTAGCAGCCAGAGCTGCAGTAGTGCCTGCACCCCCCCGCCCAAACCCCAAGACGGACACAGTTGCACAAGCACCCGTGTCACGAGTTTTGCCTGTCAGCAGCTTGAGGTGCAGTTTCCCCAAAACCCCTGCACTTATCTCCTTGAAATTCAGCAGGCTTTGCGGCCTCACCAGGGGCCACCACCCCTGCAGTTTTGACCCCACTGTGGCTTAACACGTACACGTGACATGAGCTTTGCTTTCAAGAATTTGGGGTGTAGTTCCCCCCAAACCCCTGCACCAATCTTCTTGAAACTTGGCAGGCTTCGTGGCCTCAGCAGGGGCTAGCAAGCCTGCAGTTTTGACCCCACTGTGGCTTAACACATACACATGACATGAGTTTTGTTTTCAGGATTTTGGGGTGCAGTTTCTCCGAACCTCCTCCATCTATCTTCTCAAAACTTGGCACGCACCACACCCTCAGAAGGGGCTACCATATCATATCTGCAAGTTTCATCCAAATTGGGCCAGAAATGACAAAGTTATAGCCTGTTTTGACCTTCCCCATTATATCCTATGAGCGAAATGTCAAAACAGGGTCGAAACGGCAAAAAGTTTCAATGGAACGAAACGAACAGCCGTTTCAACTCGAAACAAAAGTCATAACGAAACACTGTTCTGTCAAAACACTGGTCGAAACAAAACGCTTCTGTTTTGCACAGCCCTAACACCCAGGTACCGGGGGGTAGGCAATGGGTACAAGAGGGCAGGGTTCAACAGTTAGCTACACACAGGCTCCTCTCTCGAACTGCCCAGGAGTCCCCTCAGCCCTCAGTCAAGCTAGAGCAGCATACGCTTTAGCCACAAGCCCTATCTCCTGCCTAGCTGCAGAACGCAGCCTGGGGGACCCCCAGCAGCCCCGCAGCACTTGGAGCTCTGCACGGGAGCTCTGAATGGAACAAGTCGACAGGCCAGCTACATGTCTTCTATCCATGGTGGGGAGTCAAAGGACTTCCCCCTTCAGCAGACTCTAGCCCTCCCTGCCTGCCCTGCAACAGCCAGGTGGTCTGAGGCTTTTACCCAAACTGCCAAGGAGGCTGTCGAGTAAACTGGCCTCCACAAGCAAACAGGCTGCCTTGCAGCTGGCATTGCTGACAGTGCTCACTTTTGCTTTTCTTGCAGCCTCTTTGGTATCACCTCCTCTGGGGTCCACGTATCCTACAGGCAGGAAAGAAACCAGTCACCAGCAATAAGGAGAGACTCAAGGAATCAGTGATGTGCTGTGCCAGCCCCGGACACACCGCAGTGCTGCTGAAGGGCACTTGACCCGTCACAACTCCTCCCCGGAGCCATCTCCCCCCCCCCGGGGCTATCTGCACCTTCCAATTCTTGCCACACACTTAGCTCCAGCCAAGCGAGTCTCTACTCACCGGGTCCACAAACGGAATCCCAAAGACATCGTAGCTAAAGAAGAGCAGCTCCTTCTCCAGCAGACTGCGCTGCCGGTACACCCGGATATTCTGAAAGGGCAGGAGATGGGGACACGTCTGAGTCCGGAGACTGAGGTGGGGGTGGGAAGCCTGAGGGATGGAGCTTGAAACAAGGAGCCAGGGGTAGCAATGAGAGGAGATGGAGGGGATGGAGCTTAAAGGACCATCCTCAGCTCCCCAAGATGTCTATAAACTGACACCATGAGTCTGGGCAATTAGTTCACCAATTCCCGATTACACTCTCCAGTGATAACCCAGGGTGTTGATTTATGAGTGCTTAGCTTCCCCAAGCATCCCCTTACCTCTCTTGATCAGTAACCGTTTCTACAAGGCGCTCTCACTTCCTAGCTGTCAGGAGGCAGAGAAGAGACAGGACAGAGAGGTTGGGAGGGAGGAGCACAAGAGGTCAAGGCTGGAATATTTCTGAGTCATCAACAGATGCATCTCTCCCTCCCACCTGCCTGATACATTACTAACAGTCCAGCAGTTTGGCAGACCAGTGACAGAACTAACAGAGGGGATAGGAACTGCCTCAGTGGATCAGATCGGGGTGTCAGGGAAGTAGCTCCAGCTCTCACGCAGAGCATGTAGCGGTGGCAGTTCCGGGTCTGGCACCAGGCTGTGGCAGGGCTGGCCATCTAGGAGCTGGGCGGTGGCAGTGGCAACAGGCAAAGCAGTTGGAGGGCAACTGGGCCAGCGTCAGCTCTCGCTACCCTTCTGCCACTGATCACCATGTCCGCTGGGGTCCGAGCGACCTGGATTCTGCGGCAGGCCACTACCCCCTGGCCATGACCCCCAACTTTTGGTGGCTCAGCAGCAGCCCAGCAGGCTGGACATGGAGCTCCCAGCCAGCTGTGTATTTGACACCCTGAATTAGATCAAGGGACCTTCTAGTTTGTGATCCTGCCTGCAAGTGACCTGGACATCATTCTTCAGAGGAAGGTATAAAGCTGGAAGCAGTCACCACAGCTTGCTCATAGGAGATACTCAAAGGCTTATGCCCAGGTGGCTATATGAACTGCAGCAGTATTCGTTGTTTGGTTTGGACTGAGGTTCAACTAGAAAGCTCCGGTCCGGTTTCCTGGCACAACAGGAACCCTCACAAAAGGAATGAAGGCGATCTGTTCCCATGCCGTCCCTTCCGCACGATAATGCATAGACTGGACACTGAGCCCCTTCTGCCCTAAAAGCTGTAAGCCCAGCACCCCGGCAGCTGTTTCACTAGGACTGGGAAACACAAGATGACAACCCAGCTGGCAAAGCTCTAGAAGGTTGCCTGAAGGGCACTCACTTCTCGGGGCTGAACTGGTGCAGCCAGATTTTCCCCAAGCACAGCTGTGTAGTAGGCCACGTTCTGATTCATTACTTCATCGTTCGGGAAGAAAAGCAAGTAGGTTTTGGCACACTCAATGGCCTTCTCGTAATTCCCACCTGCAAAAAGAAATCAGCTTATTAAGACAAGCTTTTTCTTGCTTCCCTGTTGGATACTGGCTAGGAGAAACACAAAGCAGAGCAATCTTACAGATGTTTTCATGCAAAAACAGTCTGATCCAGGAACAGCCACATCCCTGGAATGCAAAGGCCCAGTGCCCAGGTCCTTGTTACCCTACCGACTAAGAGATCATTTGCTCCTGGTCGGCCTGATTTCCATCACTGAGCTGTGATTTCTGAACCTCACGATTGAGGAGGGAGCAAGGAAAAAGCTACAGGATGTGGCTGGAAACCCACAGCAATGCACAACTTCAATCCAGCCAATAGATGAACCAAGGGGGTGCCTTGCACTCTTCAGTGGAAATAATTTGTTTGCAGAAATAAAAAGATCATGCTGTTGAACTTGTCTAGTGCCAAAGGCAAACAGCTCTGCAGCTGGCGCTGTCTGCTGAGATGGGAATGGGGGCATTCCTTCCCTTCATTCATCTACTTGTACAGAAAGCCAAATAAAAGGCCGAGTCGCTCTCCTCCCCACCACTTGCTGAAAGGGAACAGACAACTGCACAGGGGCTGGAGGGCTCATATTCACTGATAACAGATTGGGACAATGGATCAGTAACCCAGATACTATGCTAAGGCAAGCAACTGAAAAGCCACCAATGAAATAAACCCCACCACATTTTGTGCAGTTTTGGGATGACGAATAGTAATTAAGGCTGAGGCCACACATGAAATAATAATGAGAAATTCTTGAGAGTTACCTCATTCTTGAGCAGCCTCCATCCCATGCCCTAAATTTATTAATGCAAAGCTTCTGTGGGAAAGAACCAGCAAATGGTCCTGTAATGCAGGGCTGTATCTCAGTGCAAGAATGCAAACCGTCAGGGCTGAAGTCGTCTGTGAGGCTGTACTTCTGGCATTTCCCGACTCCCTGACTGCAACATCAGCCGTCTTCTGCTAATATATACACCTACATATTTTTGTATAGAATATGCTATACATTACTGCCTCTTTCTTCTGTCCAGGCATCAATAGAGCTATGCTGTGGCCAACAATCCCAGAAACATGACTGGAGAGACCTACCAGCCTGGAAAGGGACAACAAAGAAGCCACTTACTGTTGTAATAGGCAAACTGCAGATAGTTGAAGTGAGATGGAAGGAAATCCTCAATGGGCTTCTCTTGGCCAGCCTCGGAAGCCAGTTCAGTGACACAGCCTTGTTTACAGCTTAGCACCTGCATGTAGTGATCTGGCAGAGAAAGCACATTTAGCGGGTCAACAAAGTCTCGAGTCAGAACAAGGTCTCTTCATTCATGGGAAAACCTCAGACAGCAACTCACTTCATTACAACCTACAAAATAAGCCTGCGAAATTAAAAGCTGCGTAGGCTCAAGTTTGGCTCCTCCTGTTCAGCCATTGACTCCTCATATCCAACATGAAAAGTGTCCTGGTAGTCTGTACCAAGTTCAGAAAACCTTCTAAAGAGCAAACTGTAGAAGGGAGATTCAGCTGTAGGAGGCTCCAGCAAGAGTGGCTTGTGCTGCACACTAGCTGGCTAAGGGCTGTGTGCTGCACCCACCTGTCATGGCCTGGAAAAGGTCAGCACTGTATTCCAGGTAATTGTAGCCTTCATAATCATAGGGCCCCTCACAGAGCGCACGGCATTCTGCGTCAGCCACAAAATATTCCTCCAGAGCCTTCTCCAGATGCAGAATGGCTGCGGCTGGCTGCTCCTCCGTGTAGAACCTCACGCCCAAATGGAACTTGGTCTGCAAAAAGCCAGGAAGAAAAGTGAACCCCAAACTTAAGCAGAAACGTTGCAGCCCTGGGGCAGTTTGGCACAATTCCCCCAGCTCTGCGCCTCAAGCCCAGGGAGAACAGGTAATGGCTGCCCATTTTCACAGGGACCTTCAGTAAGAAATGTCCAAGAAGAGAGCAGGCAGAGTCCATGCCAGCCTGCCTATGCCAGGCCACTGAGCCGGGGGGACTGAAGCTGTCTTGACAGTAGCGGTCAATAATGCCTTCAAAGCAACTGAGCAAGGGGGAGAACCTCCTCATCCCAACCTTTGCTACTGGGGAAATTCAAGGAAGAAAAGCTTATTGCGAGTCTGTGCTGTGTGACTTGAGACAGGGTCTGAGCTCCGCAGCATCGCAGGAACTACATTGCCACATGTTGCAGCCACATGGAGGGATTCTGCCTCCCCTAGACAGGGCCACTTCCCTGACTTCAGAGCACAACTCTCAGTCATGCAGTCAACTCCATCTGGTCACAACTCAAGAGGCCACAAGACCTTTCCCTGACTAGCCTCCAGGCTGGATCCTATTGGGAGGCTGGGCCTTTAAGGATCCCTGCACACAGGGACTGTCAGTTACTTTTAGTTAATTGCAATCACCTGGAACAGAGGACAGCTCAGCAGTCTGTGCTACGTTCATGAACTCGGAAACAGAAGGCGATGCCTGCAGGTGGTGGCGTTTATGGTATCAAGCTACCACCTCCACTCGCCACACCTGCCCCTTACCTATAAACCGTGTCAAGACCTGAACAAAAGGAACAAGTCCCTCACTTTGAGCCTTATAGTCACCTGCTAAGGAATTTTTCATCTGGGTTTGTGCCTTTCCCGGGTTTTTATGTCCCAAGTCCCTGGGACTTAGCCTGGAAGGTTATTTTCACCCCTTTTCTCCAAGGGAGAGGCCCACTTTTATTAAAAATCCCCTGATAAATATTAGAAACCTCACGCTGAGCTCTCCTCGGTTATGCTAGAAGGCTTCTTGCATATCAGGAGCCCTTCCATCTTAACTGAAGATCAACCGATAAAAATCGTTAACCAAGACATCCTTTGTCCAAAGTGTTCATCAGGTGCAAAACATTAACTGGGTATTAAATGCATGGAAACTCTGAAGTTTTAGAAGAGTCACCAAATTATTTTCCTTCTCAACAGTACAGCTCTCACTTCCTTGTCCCTTTGAATGTCATCATTTCTCTGGGCCTGCAGTCACCAGGCCTAAATTCCTACCCCACAGTCAGAATTCTTCCCCTGCCAACTGTGTTGCAAGAGTGTAAGTGTTGAACCTCATGCCAAAGCAGGAGGAGGAGACTGGACTTCCAAATGCTCTGGGAAGGAGAGCTCTTACCATGTGGGGCTTGGCCTCGAGGTCCGTGAAGTCTGACTCTTTGACTCCTGCCATCATCTGGTAGTACTCCAGGTTCTGCTTCATCTCCATGTGGTTGGGGTTCCCCACAAAGAAGGTGTGTGCAGCAGACACAGCCTTATCTATCTTGTGAATCTGAACAAATATACATGGAAGAGCGAGACAAAAGCTGGGAATCACTAGCCATACAGAGCCAGTTTACTCGGCTTCCTGAGACTGCATTGCAGCACCGTGCAGAGGGAAACCAAGATCTCAGACCCATCTCTAGCCTAATTAGCCTAACCAAGCCTAGGCAGAGTCCTCCTACCATATACACCTGGCTTCAGGCACCCTCCCCAGCCCCAAGACACTGCAGTAATGAGAGTCATAAAAGTCCATTTGGACTAGAGACCCAGCCCCTGCCTTCTGACCAGGCCTAGTCTCCTAGAGCCAAACTGACTGTCATAACCATATTTTCCCTTGTGCTATGAAGCCCAGGAAAGGGATGGGGCATTAACTAATCCAGGCTGTGTGAACGCTGGCTGCCTGTCTCCCAGACACAGAACAGAACTGCAGCTAAGATGTACAGGACCCCAATTACTCCAAGTTTCCGCAGGCTTTGCCTCCGCTTCCTTAAGTTGCAGTGAAAGATGGTTTTGTGCTTTGGGCACCGCACAGGGACCCAGGTGATCTGGGATCAACTCCTGACTCCCCCACACGTGCTCTACTGCCCCACCCTCCTCTAGTCCCCAAGAAACCGGTAGGCAAAAGGGGGAGTCAGTCCTTCTTCCCCTCCTCGCCGCATTTTTGGGACAGACTAAGATGACGGCACGCTACCACGTAGCATAACAGGGCCCTGAAATTGGTTAGGACCTCCAGGCACTAGGGTCATTCAAATTAGAGACCACCCTTCAGCAGCACAGATGGCCTTCCCCCCTCCACCTGGTCTAGGAAGTGGTAGGGGAAGGAGGAAAAAAGACCCCACCACACGGGGGAGATGGTGGTCGCTTAACGCACCTTTGGGAGGCATTCAGATCTGAGGATCCAGTACAAAAACCTGAGTAGTGCCATAGCAGGCCCCAGTCACTTGGGTTGTATAAAACTGGACGTGACAGAGCCTGACATGCCCTGAAGAGACTAATTCTGCCCCAGCATTGACTGGACTAGCTGATTTGTTAGATCTATTTTATTTCTACTTAGCGTGATTCTACAGACCGTGCTTAACACTGGTACTTTAATTTTTATACGAATTTGAACATCAATCTAGACCAGCCACTGGCAACCTTTTTGCAGCGGTGGCCCAGCGCAGGTCCGAGGCAGGCTGGTGCTGTGCCCTGGCCACCACCACTTCTCCCAGGCCCAGGACAGGCAAAGCCTCCCCTCCCTGGCTGCAGCGCAGTGTGGGAGAGCCCTGGATCACCGCAGCCTCCTGTGGCCTGGCTCGATGCCACCACAGCCCCCCCAGAAACTCTCCCCCTGCCCCTGAGGTCTGGAAATGTCCCGCAGACTACTGACTCCCAATCTAGACGTCCAACGAGAAGGACCACTGGGCAGGGGGCTCGCCAGGTCCCTTCCAGCCCGAATGACCATGAAGTCTATTAAGTAGTTTCAGCGTCTACCCAAAGGTTCCCTATAAAACCTTGTAACTTTGAAATCCAGACTCATCTTTAAGCACCTCTCTCCCTCCATGCAGCTGTGCGCTAGGCAAGTAACTAGGGAGAGGAGCGAGCAACTAAACGCACACAGTGACAGTGATGGAGCAGACACCTCTCCCTCTCATCGCCCCCAGGGCAGC